GTGTTCCAGGTCAGAAAGAGGGATGCGAACAGGAAAGGGGGAGGATGTTTGTTGAGAAAAATGAGTTTTAAACCCATACAATTACTAAAATAGGAAACTGAGGCCATGTTCTTCCTCCCACTTGTTATTTCTACCCCCCTCCCCCCCAACATCACAGAGCCAATGCCTGTCATGCTGTGAGGGTACAGTCTAGCTGTGCTTTGAAATCTCTGGATTATTTTTATTAAAGTGCTTTACAGAGAAGGGCAGTAGCATTAGCTCCATTTTACAGCTGGGAAACTGAGCCATAGAGAAGTGGCCTTAGTCACCCAGCAGGTCAGTGGCAGGGTGAGGAAGCCCCCCCCCCGGTCTTCAGACTGAGTCCCACTCCAGAACTCTAGCCACTAAGCCAGCCTGCCTCTAGTATTGTCAGCTGCATTGCACCGCACTGCACAGCTTGGTTTGTAGTTCCTGTTTGGGTCACACTGGCATTGCTCAGCTGTGCTGGGGCACCAGGGTCTGCTGCTGTGTGGGGGCCTTCGCGCACTCTACAACCAGTGCATCCCCTTCCTTGGTACGTCTGCCTTGCTCCAGGGAGGAGGCGCTACTGGGTATGGGTAGGGTTCCCACCCCTCCAGGATTGTCCTGAAGTCTGCAGGAATTAAGGATTAATCTTTAATTAAAAATTATGTCATGTGATGGAACCTCCAGGAATACATCTGACCAAAATTGACAAACCTAGGTACAGGAGCTGGGCAATGGGCGCCCAGATGCCTGGACAAAGCAGAAGCATTGTGATGACATATGGGCTGGATGCAAGAACAGGGCCCCCTCCGTAGCACAACTGGAGTCAAGGGGTGGGTAGAGAGCGAGAGCCGTGAAACCCTTGCAGGAGGCTAGAGCGGATGATATGAGGCTTCCCTCTCAACTAGACCAGGGGAGTGAGTGTCCCGTGCCACCAGCCAGGGAGTGAACATGCCGGCCCGCTACACCACGGTGCACCAGTCCTCTAGCCAGCAACAGGTTGCAGTGCGGCCCGGGGGGAGGGGCATTGTTTTCCCTGGAGAAGGGTTGTAGGGGGCCTGAGAGGAGCTAATCGGTGAGCATGAGTCTAAAGAACGCAGAGCAACACGTGAACACTGTATTCGAGGGTTGCACTTGCTGCTGCTTCTGTCAACGCCTCTCATTGGGCACACCAGGGGTTCTTTGCATTACATACGACTGGCTGTACTGAAGCAGACCATGGCCCAGCTCGCCCAGTAGCCTGGCTTCAGAACAGAGCAATTAGACCCTGGGTCTGGACGACAGGGAATGGCTCATTTCATGTCGGTCAGGGACACCCAGATCATGGGTTTGTGCCCCGACCATCTTGGTTAACAGCCGTTGCTGGACCTGTCCGCCATTAATTTATCTAACTCATTGTTGAACTCAGTTACACTTTTGGCCTTCACAACATCCCCTGGCAATGAGTTCCAGACATTGACGGTGCATTGTATGGAGAAGTACTTCCTCTTGTTTGCTTTAAACCTGTTGCCTATTAATTTCATTGGGTGACCCCCCCCCCAAAGTTCTTGTGCTACATTAAAGCGTCTATAACAGTTCCCTCAACTTTCTTCACACCAGTCATGATTTTATAGCTCTCTAGCATATCCCCCTTCGTTGTCTCATTTCAAAATGGAAAGGGTTGAGTCTTTTTACTCTCTTCATGTATGGCAGCTGTTCCATACTCATAACCATATTGGTTGCCCTGCGCTGTACTTTTTCTAATGCTAATATATCTTTTGATTGGGATGGGTTGACCAGAATTGAATGTAGTCATCACGGTGTGGACATACCGTGCACTTATATAGTGGCATTATGCCATTTTCTGGCCTATCTGCTAGCCCTTTCCTCATAGCTCCTAACAGTGTCAGCGTTTTTTGATGTCTGCTGCACATTGAGCAGCTGTTTTCAGTGAACTATCTGTAATAGCTCCAAAGATCACTTTCTGGAGTGGTATCAGCTAATTTTGACCCCACCATTTTGTATATATAGTTGGGATGATGTTTTCCAATGTGCATTACTTTGCATTTGCCAACACTCAATTTCATTTGCCATTTTGTTGCCCAGTCACCTAGTTTTTTGAGATCCCTTTGTAACTTTTCGCAGTCAGCTTTGGACTGAGTAATCTAGTACCGCCTGCAAATTTTGCCATCTCACCGCTTACTCCCCCTTTCCAGCTCACCTATGAGTATGTTGACCAGAACTGATCCCAGTACAGCTCCTATAGCCACTGGGTCACCCTTGTCCATGTTTGCTAATCTCCCCACCCCCAAAGATTTCCAATAGGTTGGTGAGGCATGATTTCCCTTCACAAAAACTATGCTCCGATCTCTATTTCAGAGACTCTGTACAAACCCACACCCCCGCTCAGGCCAAGTGCTCATTGTGTCCCTCTGTTCTCACCCCCTCCCCCTGCCAATGGCTGTGTGCCTGCCCTGTTGGTCCCCCGCGCCACAGCACAGCTGAGTATCCATGTTCCCTTCCCCCATTCTCTTCCTTTAGCAAGGGTCCGTATGCCTCCCCCATTCTTCCATGACAGGGTCCTCCGTTCTCTCCCACCAAGGCAGGGGCTCTGTATGTGCCACAATTCCCCCCAGTTCTTATTTCTTATCTTTCTGTCTGGGAGGTAAGTCATTCAGGGAGTCAACAAGTTAAACTATATTGGGAGGGTGAATAGAGCTGAGATATGGTGGCTGGAGGGTGGGGAGTGAGGGATTTGCTGGAAGGTGTTAATGGCTGCATCAATCCTTGGTTTTTTTTTAATCTATAGACAGTTACAAAGGTGTTTGGGTTTGCTCACCAGCTGGCAGGGGCTCTGTGTCCCTTAGCTCCCCCAAATCATTAGGGTTCGGCTCAATCCATGCTTTGAATGGTCCTTGAATTTTTGGAATTGATCAGAGGCAATGCTCAAAAGTTCCAGCCAGACAAAACTGCCATCAATTTGAAGGTAAGAGCTCACTTCGATCAGCCAATGCAATAGTGATTCATTACATAAAGTTAATTAAACTGTAGTGTAACTACAGCAATAATTTGGATAACTGGACTCCTTACGCCCATAGCAATGACAAATCTTCTTGATGCCTGAATTGCTGGTAGCAGAGATTAAAATGACTTTGTCCACCATTACCTTGGTTGATTGTGAAATCTGCTTGTTGCACTCCCTCAGAGATACGGTCCAGCACACTGAATCGGATAATGTCACATCATTCTGAGCTTAGGCCATGTGACCTAAACAATTAGCAAGATGCCACTGCAAAATGTGCCATCCACCACCTCTGTATTTATTCCAGGAGCAAGCACCTGACCCTAAGCTTTTAAAGGGATAACAGGGAAAAAATCCTGTGGTGGAATGATGAGTTCTGGGCGTGCAGATTTCCAACTCCCCTTGAAGTAGCAGCCTGAGGTGGAGGGTAGTGTGTAACATTTGTGTGTATGTAAGGGGGAGGGAAGATAGCCAAGGCTTGTAATGGGAGAAACTCTGCAATTTACACCAGCGCTTATAACAATAAAGGATTCTTTTCCAATTTGACAGAGGCTACATATAAGATGTGAGGAAAATGTAGCCCTTCCCTAGTAACCAAGGAGCTCAATGCCATGTAGCCATGGGTATCATTCCCCTTTTACTGATAGACACCCACAGGTAACTTGCCCATAATCACACAGGAAATCAGTGTTGGAATAGCACGTTCTCACTCTCAGTCCTTTCACTTTAACCTGAAAACCGTCGTTCTTCAAGCAGAAGAGACAGGGGAGAGATGGCAACAGAGTTAAACACTCTTTTGTGGTCTTCGTTGCAACTTGCTGTCCTTGATGTTAAAAGTCCATTTGGCCAAGCTTCCCTAGTTGAGACTACTGGCCCATGTCCTTGCTGTTCAGCCACAGGCAGGCAAGAATTGGGGTGGCCCCAAGGTTAATGGGGTGGATGGTAGAAAGGACACTCATGACTCTTCTGGGAGAGAAAGAGAATGTACATCGAAGAGCACAGTTGTCAGAAAAGACTGTTGAATAACAGAGGCCCTCACATTAGCCCAGAGGTGGGCAACCTACGGCCCGCAGGCCACATCAGGCTCGCGGGACCCTCCTGCCCGGCCCCTGAGCTCCTGGCCCGGGAGGTTAGCCCCCGGCCCCTCCCCTGATATTCCCCCCCTTCCCCGCAGCCTCAGCTCACTGCGCATCCGGCGCAATGCTCCGGGCGGCGAGCTCCTGCCGGGTAGCGCGGCTGCAGAGCCCGGCCTGACCCGGTGCTCTGTGCTGCGTGGTGGGGTGGCTGGCTCCAGCCGGGCAGTGCAGATGTTGCACTACCAGCCATCCATGGTCCAGGCAGAGCAGTAAGGGGGCAGGGGTGTTTGGGGGCAGGGGTGTTTGGGGGCAGGGGTGTTTGGGGGTGGGGGAGTGGATAGGGGTCGGGGCGGTCAGAGGGCGGGGAACAGGAGGGTTGACTAGGGCAGGGGTCTCGGGGGGGGCAGTCAGGAACGAGGTGGGATTGGATGGGGCAGCAGGGGACAATCGGGGACAGGGGTTCTAGGGGCAGTCAGGGAACAGCGGGGGTGGATGGAGCAGGGGCCCCAGGGGGGGCCGTCAGGGAACAGGGGGGTTTGGATGGGGCAGGAGTCCTGGGGGGGGCCATCAGGGGACCAGAAGCAGGGGAGGGTGGGGGCCGGGCCATGCCCCCATCCGCTAACTGGCCCTCCATACAATTTCCAAAACCCAATGCGGCCCTCAGGCCAAAAAGTTTGCCCGCCCCTGCATTAGCCGGTTCTTTTGGACTGAACACATTTTACACAGCACTTCATGTCTTCCTCAGAAACAGCAATCACTCCTTAGGGGGATGTGCTCAGTAAGTGGTTTTCTGCAGTCACACTGAGATGCGATATATTGCATCTTTTCATCTGGGGCTTGGGTTCCAACTCAGATAGAAATCACACTTAATGGTAACTATTATTTAAGTACTTAACTAAAAACCAAAAAGTAGCAAGCAGGGTGGTAAAATAATGTTTTATTTCATGGATGAACGAACACTACCATGCCACATCCTAAATGTCCTCCTACAAAAGATTGCGGACAGAGCAGATTTGATGTTTTTCCGACCCAGTTCATTTCAGACTTTTGAGCCCATTTCGTGTAGTAAAACCTGGACACCCAGCATTCGTATTGTCTATTTGGCATACTGCCGAGTAAAGCAGATTTATGCTGTAGTTCCTGTTCGCAAAATATCAATGCACTGTAAATTAAAGAAACCCCCCCAAACCAAACTAGATTGCTTCTGTGATTTACCAGTATAGTGTCCAGGATGGTCTAACTACAACCAACAGTCAAAGCTTAGAGATTAAAATAAAAAAAAACTTGACACATTAAGGAGCACAATGGATACATCATCATTGCTGTCAGGATGTGAGTTTACCCACAGTACTGTGTAAAAATGTAGAAACCGGTGCTGACATTCAAGTTGTCAAAACAAGAAAAGAAATTACATTAATTGATATATTTCCAAGCTAGTACTTCTAAAGAGTCCTGATCAGCAAAGGAAGGTTATAGTGTGCATGCTCAACACAAGACTAATATTGGATTGGAGACCTGACAAATAACTGACTTACATTCCTTTATATACAACAAAATGAAATATACATTATTAATCCTGGCTGTACATTTGGTCAGAATATCTTACAAGGAGCAACACTAGCCAAAATCTTTATGATATGGTAACTGGAGGTGAAGGAATGATTTTTGAGATTTGAACGATTTTCCCCTGGGTTTTTAAACATTGTTTTCCACCCCTGCACAGACCAGTATGATTTTAGATGCTCTGATTTTACAAACCTCCTGCAAGCAGAAGACATAACTAAAAGTGGAATGTGATAATCATTGACTTGGAATCCAAAATCAAAACTAAGCTGCAGACAGCATGTGAAATAAATCTATCCATACTGATTTCTTTTTTAATGCTTCGCAAGATGACCAGCAAAGTATCTGATACAAACTCCCTCTACCAGAGTGTAGATCAGCGGTTCGCAATCTTTTCTGACCACTTATTCAAAGTAACAAATGTTTGCAACCCCCTTACATTTACTTAAGAGTAAAAATGATATCAAAGCTAAGCCTAAATTCATAGATCCCAAGAGCAGAAGGGACCACTGTGATCATCAAGTCTGACCTCCTGTATAACACAAGCCATTGAACTGCCCCAAAATAATTTATTTAAGTGTGTGCTTGGAGAGGCTAACAGAGAATAATTGAAGGGTTAAGCGCGTGCCGGGAGGGAGGGAACAAGATTTTCTTTGCTTTACATTATAATAAAAATTTAACACCTGGCGCCCCCCCTTTCCTGATTGCCTTTTGTGTCCCCCTCTAGGGTCATGACCCAGCAATTGAAAAACACTGGTCTAGTTAGTTCAATGCATGTTTTCTTCCACATCCATGACAAGTGGTGAAGCTGATAAGGTGAGCATGAGATCAAATGTAAAGAGGAACAGGTAAAAACAATATAAAATAGTAATTAATTACATGAGGCTAATTAAACATTAGTGTAATTACAGTGATACTTGGTATAATTAGAATCTGTATGCCCCATAGCAGTGATGAATCTTCTAAACATGGGGGAGAGCAGGCAAATATGTATGAATCAGTACCTTTAAAATAATTGTGCTATAATCTTTTCCATTTATTAAGTTTTATCTGACACAACGGGATGCTAACTATGGTAACCCTAAAAGAGATGATGTATTTCATTGCTACTGCTTCATTTCTTGAATGCAAAAGGGCCATTTAACCTTCTAGTCCTCAAGGTAGTTTCTTGGTGTGGTCCTTCAAGTCCAATTTCTTGAGAGCCTTTTACTCCAGAAGTCATTTTGTGGCAAAGAAGACGGCGATGTCTGTGACGGATTCATGTCAGACAGCAGTTTCTGCTGAGTTCATCATGCGCAATGTTCTTCCATTCAGGAAGGAGTTGCTGTCTGTCAAGCAGGCGAGCTGCTTTCAGTTTCGTTTAAACACATGCTAACAACATAACATTTCTTTCTCCAGGAAAATGATTCAGTTGCATATTGTTATAAAGAACGGCCTTGTGCTTTGCACGAACCAAAAGGGTTAATCCTCCTCCTCCTCCTCCTCTTTCAGTGTGACTATCGGGAGTTTGTCCTGAACTTTGAAACAGTCCACAAAGAAATTGACAAGGGACTTGTACAAGTGTTGCTCAAGTGCTGCACTGTTAAAGTAATGGCTTTCGTCAGGGTATATCTGCAAAGGAACCAAGGAGACCATGAGTAGCTTTACGTTAAGGTTAGAGAGGGGCCCGAACTGCAGTCCCAGATCTGAACACCTGGGATCCAGCCAGAGCTGACCTCTGCAGCTCGGGCCCAGCTCTAGCTAATCAGCATCAATACAAACACTAGCGTGTGGCACTTAGGGCTTGTCTTGCACTGGCTAACCGAACAGACTGTATTTAAACCTGTTTAGTTAAATTGGTGCCAACGTCTGTGTGGACACTCTTATTTCAATTTAAAAGTAGATTCTGATCAGGTTTAAGTTAAGCCTAAATAGGCCTTAGCTACAGTACGAATGCTTTGAAAGTAATACCTATACCAGCAGAGCCCTCTAGTGTAGCTGCAGCTTATGCTGACAGAAGGAGTTTTTCTGTCATTGTACCACCAGCTTCCTGAAGGACATGAACTGGGAGTGTTGCCAATAGCTATGCCGGTTGGAGGTGGCGATGTTTTTTTCACATTCCTGACCGACATAGCTAGTCTGACAAAACTTTGTAGTGTAGACCTGCCCTTAGGGTGACCACACAGGGGTATCCACCAGTTGAACTAAATGAGTGTAGTCCTATGTAGACAAGGCCTTAGGATCTACTCCTTGCAATATGAATTAAAAGAGTTTCATTACTTAAAAAGTTGAATGTAAACTTGTTGAAAAAGGAATTTATTTTTTGTTACAAAGAACGTTGATAACTCTGTAAAGGAACTGTCCTACATAATCTCAACTATGCTTTTAATTCAGATCTAACAGGCAACTTTTGTACATGTTATATGAATGCCAGTTGATTATACCAGACTTCTAAAGCTGTAATTTTCAAAGGAGAATAGGGAGCTGGGCTCCTAGTTCTCAATGAAAGTCAGCAGGAGTTGAATACCAAGTTCCTTTGAAAATCCCAGCGTAAGAACATACGAATGGAGCTCTAACAACTGCAGGATTGGGCCAAATCTAAATAATGATAATAATGTGTGTGTGTGTGAGAGAGGAACTATATAATATACATATAACTTAGAATTACTGTTCTATTTGTATTTTTATATTGTATTGTATATACAGTGAGGACTTTCTAAAGCTTACTTCATAACATCTGTTTTCTGTTCAAAGTGCAAAGTGACTGTTTAAGTATGAAAAATGGAAACATACGTATACTGTACCTGCAAGCTGTAATTAGCCTTTGCCCTAATTAGGTGTGTAATAAGATCTGCAGTATGCTGGAAATGGATTTTTTCTGTAAAATCAGATTAGTATCAATAAATGCATAAAAGTGGCAAATTTAATTAAGAAAAAAATCAGAGTCTCATAAACTACGCAATGTATCGCACTAAAATAGTGAGTTCACTTACCATCAGCTGTGGCATGAATAATCAAAAACTTTTGATCTTTCAGTAATGAGACTCTGTGTGCTAATTTGGTGATCTGTGAAGATAAAAGTTGCAGGTAAGATTAAGCATCATGCCAGAAATGAGTGATTTCTGTATACATAGCAAAGTAGCACTTAACTCTGTTTTATATTTGATCACCAGAATAACAAGCTGATATCATTGCAACCTCTTCCTCTTGGCGGCTTGAATCATTACAGCAGCAGAATGGAGGAGGAACTATGCTGTCTATTTGTCTAACCTTTTCCTGCCCCTCATGACCAATCCTGCCCCAACTGTAGATGGTGGGTGTGATGGATGCACCCCTGCACTCACACCCTACACACTATTGTAATAATCTTTGTACAAAGTATGTCTTAAGAAAAGGAGTACTTGTGGCACCTTAGAGACTAACCAATTTATTTGAGCATAAGCTTTTGTGAGCTACAGCTCACTTCATCGGATGCATGAGCTCACGAAAGCTTATGCTCAAATAAATTGGTTAGTCTCTAAGGTGCCACAAGTACTCCTTTTCTTTTTGTGAATACAGACTAACACAGCTGCTACTCTGAAAAGTATGCCTTGTGAGGTATCATAACTTAATTATAGCTTAGATTGCTATATGCATTTCACCATGACAATGCTGACAAGCAAGTTATGAGTTTTCAAATAAGATTCTGATGTTATTAGCACATCTTCCCCATTACCCTACCCAGGCAGAAGTCAGCAAACAAATCTGTCCTAAACAAAGGAATGTGTGTTTGCTTTAATTTGCATTTAAGCAGGAAACAGAGTTCTCAAGCAGACATGGGGGAGGGAGGAAACAAATGGAAACCTGAATGTAAGCATACACAGGTGAAAAAAAAACCCAGCAGGGAACATCCTTCCACACAGACTCTTGATTCTCATCTAGTTCCCCGCATGCTGCTCCCTCTGTTATAACATTGCCTCCAGGAGAATAATATGGTTTATAAAGTCTGCATCAGCAGCCTTTATAAATTCCACATCACAGTTCCATGGCTCAGGAAATGGCAGTCTTGTGCTCCTTGATTCCTAGAGAGTACATGGCCTAGTTGTGGTGTTTAGGAAGCACACGTTACATCAGTGTCTGGCATAGCAGGCCACACTTAGAACACTGTGATGTTCCACAGATACAGTCAATGGCGTTTAACAGTTAAATAGTTCCCTCCCCAAGCTAGTCAAAAGCACCAGTACTTACTCACACCAACCTTCAAAACATACAGCCAAGCTCTTTCGCACTACATCCAAATGAGAACACTGATTGCTTTGGAACCCCTTTCACTTTGATTCATTTGCCTCCAAATTTCTAGAAAAAAAAACCTACCATGGCCTAACTACGCTTGTGAAATTTCAGAAGGCCAGTGAATTCACTATATGGATCACCTACCCACGAGCCCTACCTGTGAAGGAGGTGCACAGGGGCTCTGGCTGATTTTATTTTGTTGTGAAGTGGGCAATGTCTTCAAACCCCAGTGGTGAATGCCTGTGCAAAATCCATTTCATCGGGCTGTGTGCAGGGTTAGCACCAATTTTTCCACACTTTACAGACACAGCCCAGTGACCCTTTCCCTCCATGTAGCTACTCTTTTCTAGTTTCTTCAGAATAACTGAAGCATTCACACCCATTGAGCCTCCCTCTCACCCTGAACAATAACACCCTAATTAATGAGCTATCTTCATTTTAAACCCTGCTCGACACAAGCCCAGAGGTCTGCTTATCACCAACTCAAGCTTCAGAATTCTGAAATACCCATTCTGTGCTTACAACCATCAGCAGCTCGTCCTGGGGTGAAATGTTAAAGGGACTTTAAATGGATGTAGCTTAAAAGGCATGATCTAATGGGCTGAGCACCAGAACAGAGTTCTAATCATGGCTTTGACACTGTTTTGTCCTGTGGCCATGGACAAGTCACTCAACCTCTCTGCCTCAGATTTCCCACCTGTAAAATGGGGCTTATAATACCTACCTGCTTTAGAGGGGTAGCCTGAGGATTAATGAATGACAAGGCTATGAATTACTTTACTGTTAAATTCAAGGAAACCAAAACAGCTAGTCAGTCTGTAGACTTAAAGCCAAAATAACTTTCCAACAAAGATCTTTTTATTACTCGCAGGCACTGTTTTTGGTATTTCCCTCCTCCCCCAAATTGTACATAAGAAGACAGGGTTAAAAAGTTAAAGAAAGGTTTACATTTTGTCATGAAAGTGCGCACACTGGCTCAAAGCTCTGTGCTCAACTCCATGCAGTTACCTCATATGCTCTGTTATCAATGCCATGTAGTCCCAAATACCTTTCAGAAAAGGCAGAAGCTTGAAAAGAAATAAAGAGAACATATTGGTCAGTTTTCACTCCAGTGCAGCCCGTTCCAAAAATAAAAGCCACATTTCCTGACTCAGCTTTCATTAAATGAGAAATGTAGACTTAACAAGACTCTCATTTTTGTTTTGTTTTAGAAATGTGATCAGAATGAATGACTCCGTCTGTAATAACGTTGAGAGAGAAAACTTAATTCTAATAAAAGAATAGTCAAAACACATTTGTAATGCCAAACCTTTGCAACATACAGCTACCAATGATCCACTGTGCTACATGGCCTTTCGCCATGAATGTATATAGAGAGGTATTGCATTAGTCACAGCGGGGCTCTGCTATTGACTTCTGAATGCAACTGAAATACACTGGGAGCTACAAGTTATATAATTTTGTTCTGCTATCACCTAATGGCTGATCCAACTCCAGTTGAAGTCAATCGGAATGTTCTCATTGGCTTCAGTGGAAGTTGCAGGGGCCCTAACGCAGGAGTAGCACCTTGATTTTAATGGAGCTACTCCTGATTTACACCAGTGCAAAGTGAGAGAGTATCAGTCCCACTGAGTAGCCAGCCAAGGAGAGAATGGAGGGGAGGCAAGGAGTTTGCTGTGCCTTCCAGCAGCTAAGAGGAAAATCCCTAAATAGGTCTACTGGATGGGAATGGGATAGCTTCCCTTTAGAGGTGTGCTTTGATGGGAGAAGCTAGAAGGTGACCTTAGATCAGAGTGGGAGCAGCCCTTTGCAAATAACGATGGGAATATTTGGCCTTTGGAAGAAGATTTCAAGTTTGAGTTTCCAATGGGCTGATACAAGCAATAGTGAGAATTTGCAGACCCAGCAGGTGTGACACTCAATGAATAAAGCCCAGATCCTACAAGGCCCTCCACATGAGCAAGGCTCTGTGGGGCTCCCCAGTGGGTCGTTGGGCGGGTGCAGGAGTCTGCCCATGCACAGAACTGGGCTAGTAAGTCTCTATTTAGACCTTATTCAAAACCCTTCATTTAACATGTGACCAAACCATTTATCAAGCTCACAAAGCTCCATCAGAAGGTGAGTCTGCAACCTAGGCAAATGTGTCCATTTGCATGCACAAGCTGACGCAGGCTGCTTTAAAATCTAGTCAGAATGTATAACGTTAAACAGGGTGGCGTAGTTTGGAGCTCAAGCCCTAGTTCTTCCTAATACTGAACAAACCTTTTTGATAAATGTCTGGGTTGTGTTTATGACACATTTGTATGTATTTGTTTATCACCCATTTGTAAGGTGATAAGTAACATTCAGCGTGGATTTGTCAAGAACAAATCGTGTTAAACTAACCTAATAGCTTTCTTTGACAGGGTAAAAAGCCTTGGGGATGGGGGACAGTGGTAGATGTGGTATATCTTGATTTTAGTAAGGCTTTTGATACTGTCTCGCATGACCTTCTCATAAACAAACTAGGGAAATACAACCTAGATGGAGCTATTATAAGGTTGATGGATAACTGGAAACTGTTCCTAGAGAGTAGTTATCAATGGTTCACAGTTATGCTGGAAGGGCATAATGAGTGGAATCTGGCAGGGATCAGTTCCAGGTCCGGTTCTATTTAATAGCTTCATCAATGATTTGGATAATGGCATAGAGCAGTGGTTCTCAAACTAGGGGCGCCGCTTGTTCAGGGTAAGCCCCCTGGCGGGCCGGGCCAGGCCGGTTTCTTTACCTGCTGTATCCGCAGGTTCTGCTGATCGCAACTCCCACTGGCCGTGGTTCGCCGTTCCAATGGGGGCTGCAGAAAGTGGTGTGGGCCGAGGGACGTGCTGGCCACCCTTCCCACAGCCCCCATTGGGCTGGAGCAGTGAACCGTGGCCAGTGGGAACCGCGATCGGCCCGCCAGCAGATTTCCCTGACGGGCTGTATGCCAAAGGTTGCCAATCCCTGATCTAGATAATACTTAGTCCTGCCACGAGTGCAGGGGACTGGACTAGTTGACCTTTCAAGGTCCCTTCCAATCCTACAATTCTATGATTCTATCTATGCTATTATGGGTGAGTTTCTAGAATTACTGGGGTAGGCAGTGGCAATGTGGATGGCCGCACTTTGCAGTTATTACCATTGTTACTCTTTATTTCATGTGTGCTCAGCATGGTATAAGACACAGAAGGACAAAGGGTCCCTACCTTAAGGACCCTACTGTCTGAGGCCATATTGTAGACCTCTTACTTACTTATGCAGGGGACTCATCCCATTGAAGTGAAGGAGACTGCTCACCAATGGGAGTAAAGGGTTCACAGTCTGGCTCGAAATAGACAAACACCAAAGACCCCAGGAGAGGCAGAAGCCAGGTTTTAAGAAACAACGAGAAGGGAGACCTAGTAAGGGGAGGGTGGGAATGTCACTGATGGCTAGGAGCTGGCATTTTGTGGCCTCCGGGGAGTGGTGTTTACCGTATAATTTCAAGTCTGTCAATGGAGAAAGAGCGGCTCCGCACGTGAACACTTGATTCTCTTCACCAGCTGGGAGAATAAAAGCGCTCAGATAGCCCCCGTAATCCTAGAATACAGACAGACAAACAGCACACGTGTCAGTGAGAATGCAGAAATGCTGGGCACCAAAGCCGTCATCTCATACATCGGTCAGTGTTACCAAGAACCGTGCCCATGCTGACACGATGCAACGCTGTGTTAACGGGTCATAGAGGCAGGTACATCTGAGGGCCAATAACCCCGTGGGTGCCTTATGACAAATAGCATACAGTCTCTTTGTTTATATTTATTTGTATTGCACCTAGAGGTGCCAGCCCCAGAGTGCTAGGCTCTGTACAGACATGCAGCAAAGAAATGGCTCCCTGCCTAGAATGCTTATAATCTGAGGGTATGTCTAAACTGCAGTCAGAGGTGCGACTGCAGCATGCAGAGACATACCCAAGCTCGCTTTGCTCTAGACAGCTCGCTAACGCAGGCTGAAGCATGGGCTATACAACCCCACCTGGTCCATGCTGCAGGAGCTGCAATGCCATTTTAGCTATCTAGATCAAAGCAAGCTTGGGTATGTCTACACGTGCTGCCGGCACATCTCTGACTGCAGTACAGACATACCCTGAGCCACCGCTGTGACTCTGTGGGGATTAGCTGTAAATTGAGCCCAACTAATACAAGATAATGTCTTAGCCTGGGTGTTAAGCGCACACAAACTCCCCCACCGCCATTAGATGACACAAAATCCCACCAGGCCAAGGTACAGCAGAACAGAGTGTTCATTTGATTAAAAACCATTCAACTCTGCTTCCCAATGTAACGGGCTGGTAGCTACTTTGAGACGCACTGGGGCACGGTGAGGTGCGTTCTGACCAACCTGCGAGCATTGTGTGCACCTATGTGGGGCAGTGGTGTTTTCAATACACAGTCTAATGAATGGGAAACAGGGTTCTAAACCAGTGCCACAGCCCAACAAAAGAGTTACTAAACTAGCCAGTTCCTAAAGCCGGATTCTTGCAGGCCCTACACAGGCAAATCTTCCCTTTTACTTCAGTGGGAGTTTTGCACACGTAAGTAGTGGAAGCCTGGGTCCTAACTATGGGCCTGATCCTGCAACCATTTATGCACTTGAATAACTTTGGCCTCGATCCACTAAGTGATTTAGGCAACTAAATCCAAAATTTAGATCTTCAAACCCTGCTCAGCTGCTGCCTAACCCTGCAGGTACCTACGTCCCTAGGCCTCTAAGTTGCCACTGGGAAAGTCCCATGGCACCTGCATTTTTCTGCTGCTGGGCATGTGCAGAGCTGCCTCAGTCCTACTGCCCAAGCAGGATCCTCAAACTAGGTGTTTCCCCACCTATCTCGCCTGCGGGCCTCACCCAGAACAGAGGTGGTGGCATCCTAACCACTGGGCTGTGGGGTTTTCTGCGGAGGGTCTCTCTCAATCTCGCCTATGGAAACTTGTATAAACAATTACATAGGCATTGGAAGGGGGACTGGAATTTGGGCCTCCCATGGCCCAGGGGGATGCCCTAACAGTCATTCTCACGCTTTCTGGCCTATGACTACTAAGTATTTCATACAAAGTGGAACAGCTTCAGCAGGAGCAACTGAATGAGACCCACTCCAGCATACCTCAAATACCCACTGATTAGGGCACTTGCCTGAGAGGCTGAAGCCCTAGATTCAAATCCTTGCTCCATGCCTGTCAGAGGAAGTGGGATTTGAACCTGGATCTCCCACATCCTGGGTGAGTGTTCTAATCACTGGCTAAAGGTTATAAACCGAGAGTGTCTGCCTGCAGATGTGTACACAGGAGGGGACCCTCCCTCTTGTGTAAAGATATCAGGCACCTCTGCAGTCTGATCTCTGTGCAGGAAGAGGTGTGGACGCTCATCAGACCAGGGTGAGAAGAGTGCATGGGAGGGAAAGTTAACTCAGTCAGGGTCTCTAAGGAAAGCGGTGGCCATAGGAGTCCCTGATAGTGCAGAGGTACAGGAGGGTGCATACAGATGGCCAAGCCTTCCCTGGATCTTTGGGGAACTGCCAGATTCAAGAGTGGGCCCCATAGCCTATGTCTCCTAGCTCCTCTTGGCAATTTTAACTTTCCCCAGAGCCCCCTCCTGTGTGCTCTTCCAAAGGAGAGGAATGATCTGGCCTATGAGGACCACTTGTGTCATCAATATAACTGTATAGGTCTGTGTCCAGGATTGGGCCCTGTATCTGTGTGGTTAAATAAAGTCTTGCTCTGTTGCAGAGTCTGTAAAACTGCAACATCCTCTAAAAAACACCAGTCACTGGTATTGAATTTGGTTACTGCAATGCCCAAAGTGCCAGCAAAGATTCTGGATGTGTCTCATCTACCTGAAACAGAGCACACAGTCGGATTCGCACTGGTTACACTTAGACCCTGAACCAGCAGTCCCTGCTTGGGCAAAACTCCCATTTTTTTGGGTGTAAGGTCTGAGTTTTCAAAGCTACAATGGTACATTCATTCTATAGTGTCAATCTTAGTGTGTTTCCCCTCAGGTTGAATGAACTGGTACCAAGCCAAGAATCCATCTCCTTTCCTCAACCCCTTCAGAAATAGTGCCAATAGCAAACCTGTTATTAGCATTTCAGTGGCTGCTATGAACTGGTAAGCAGTCTCTGAGACAAGGATTCTGTGATCTGTTCAGCACTTTTCACCCACTGTACCTCTATACGGATAGCAACAATAGTTTCTTCTAACAATCCCCTTCTCATATCTGACAGCATTTTTTCCTCACAAATAATAGATGTTTTTCCTTTTCAAGATAATTTCAAAGGAAACATTGATAAATGGAAAAATAAAAGGAGGACTTGTGGCACTTTAGAGACTAACAAATTTATTTGAGCATAAGCTTTCGTGAGCTACAGCTCATTTCAAATGGGCTGATATAATGAAAGCTCTCATCTTTAGAATCTCTAAGCAAGAAGTAGCCTATCTCAAAAAACAAAACCACCACCACAAGTACACTCAATAAATCAAGATTAAGCGCAAGTGCTTAAATACATCAGCAAACAATAACAAAGGGTAGGAATCACAGGAAAATGTTACCTTCCCAAATACAGCAACTCGCATTTTATCAATATAATGTTCTTTCAACATTATCCTAAAATATGAAACAGATGAGAAATAGTTAAGTTCAAGGAGGACACTATTAGATACATGGAATACTGTACATGATGGCATTGTGTGGCTTGAAGATTTTATAAGCATGAGTTTAGGATGATTGTATTACCCAAGCCTCAAGCGAATTATATAGGCTAATCCAAACTCACTCTGATGGCTACTGCTATCATGTAGCTTTCTGTTTGATTTGTTCTTGCTCTTTTAACCCTATGCCTGATATGGAATATTCCAGGTACATCATGCAGAACACACCTCCTGTGAGCCAAAAAGTACCAGGTACACCCTAATTTCCGTTAATTTTGATTGGATCATGGAAGCACAACATCTTACCTGTAGAGCCAATAACAAAATTCTTACTTATACCTGGTTCCAATGGCATTCTTAAGGTATGAAATACTTAGAACAGTAACTCTGCAAACAGTACAGGGTCTCATATTTATTGTCTTGCAATTAAATTAAAAATATCTTCACTTTACAAGTCAGAAGGTGGATTTTTTTCCCCAGCTGCTAGCACTGCAAAATTAATCCAGGTACGGAAAATCAAACGGTATTCTTTCTGCCCCTTTTGTTATTTATCCCCAGTGGCACAGAGTCTGAAATCAGAACGTTACTGATGGACGTTACTTTCCCCCCCAGTAAAGTAAGTGGATAGGACTTGAACATAAGCAGGGGGCAGATAGCTTCATTTAACAATGTTTAAATATTTAAATTAGCCAAAGTCTCTACCTGTGCAGCAAATAAGTAATTATAAGCAAATACATCATTGTAAGTTATTTGTAAGACTAAAAATGTAAGAAATTTTTTTGTATGTTTTTCAGAAACATTCATAGTCATCTTTAATACAGTCCCCAGAATGTTATTTAAATAATCTTTCCGTAAATCCTTAAACATCTTAATCCACCATTTTGATGCCAAATTATTAGCCTTAATAAAGTCTGTTTGTTTATTTATTATAACAAACATTAGCATCATCCATATATGTGCCCACTTCCTTAGAGACCAAGTATATATTTTTATCAACCGAACTAGCTTCATAATGGCATGGAACCACCATTCCTATGTATTAGGCTATTGCTGTAGTCACATGGCATGCATTACTCTGATGGTTTGGCAACACCTCTGAGGAAGATCTCACAGGCCTCCAACAGATCCTTCTCTTAACAACTGAATGAGCCTTCAACCGAACCCAACCATTTAAAAAAAAATATTCCTCCTCCTCTCCTTCCCCCAAATATTTTAAAGCAGACCCTTGAACTTTTAAAAGGTAAGACCTTCAGCTACATTCTTATTAATGTTAACATCAGAAAAAGTTTTTTGGCTTATAAATGGAATTCTTATTTAGCTGACATTTTACTCCCCATATTGAAATATACAGGAGTGTATTTGTACTTTCAATTTATCACATTTCTTCAATTGTTTACACAACAGTATTCAAACAGGAGGAGATGCATCACTGAGTGGTACCTAGAGAGATAAAACAATTGACTTTAACAACAGTTCAGCTCTGGGCAGGGTGATCAGATGAACAGAGCTCCCTCTCAGGGAGATCCTGATCCTGGAAGAGAACTGTGTAAGCAGACTTTTCCCACCCCTCCCTCACAGATCCCTGTTGACTTCAGTGAGGTCCCACCAATGCAGTTCTCTTTGCAGGATCAGGGCCTTAGAGTATTTTCTAGTGTCCAGATACAGCTGCCGAGCCTTTGAGAATACATTTCAATTATAAATGCAATTAATTTTTATAATGACAGTGTCATTCACCGGACAGCTTCCAACTGATCCTTCTCCTCCAAAAGGGCCAATTTTCTTTTAACTTCATGTAACAACTTAGTGCCTTGGAATCCACTGCCCCGGCCATCAAACTTCATCACAATTGCATTGTGGGAGCTGACCAGCACGCTTTCCCAATTCACTTCAAACTTTTCTGTTACACTCTGGCTACCAGGTGTTCCGTCACTGAAACAAAAACAGAGACCAAACAAATGCATCTTACTCATGCTCAATGGAACAATGTCAAGGCTGCCTAAGACTAGAGACCTTTCATGCTACATAATCTCTTTTAAAAGTGACAACATAGTCTCTCCTTTTAAAGGTGAGCCTGCAGAGCAGCTTGTACCGATGCCACATGCGTTATAAGGTGACATCGACTTTAACGAGAAAGCCATGATCTCTGTCTTCATACAGCACTGCCGCAGGGAGGTCTGGTGTGTGGGATGGGTTTTGAGGCAGGTGAGGAAGCTGCAGGAAGGTTTTCTCAGCTATCTATCTAGATTCTCATATGGCAACCACCACCAGGATATTGGAGCATTTTGTGAAACTAGGAAGCATACACATAAATGGCCCAGATCCTCAACTTGGCCAAAGTGGCATAGCTCCACTGGAGTTATGTCATTATACACCACTTGAGGAGCTGGCCCCAATCTATATTTCTTCCTTTCTCTCTCATCCCTCCAGTCTGTAGGGGCTGAACTCTTGTGGGGTTGCTGGTGGAGGTTAACTGGGAGGGCCTAGCCTGGGAGCATGGCAGAAAATTTGGGGAAGAAAACCTATTGACTCGTTAGACTCCTGTCACCCATCGCAAACCTCCCCTCTCCTACAGGAGTGTCGGATAGTGGCTACAGATGTGACTGTCAGACACTTGATGTCACTATTGCTTAAAATAGATACAAGGGAAAAGCAAATTAAAAAACAAACTGGTGATAAAACAATTGACTTTAATAACAGTTCAGCTCTGGTTGCAGTGGGTAGTCAGGGTGATCAGACGAATAGGGCTCTCTCTCAGGGAAATCCTGGTCCTGGACGAGAACTGTGTAATCAGACTTCTTCCACCCACCCGCCAAATCGGGTCCCACCAATGCAGTTCTCTTTGCAGGATCAAGGACTTAGATTACATGCTCTTTGGGGGCACTTAGTCCTAAATGATCACAAGAAACACACATGACCACACAAACACTGCAAACAGCGCTTAGCTGAGCATCTCAAACTTCTCAAATTCTCCATACAAAGCAGAAATTACAGTGCACCCACAGAAATAGGGTGAGCAAGGGACAGGAAATTTTGTGGAGTTAGTTCTAAATGACTAGGGATACTGGCATTTTCATCTACTTCAGTTCCTTTTATGGGCTCCCAGAAACACAAGAAAACTTCTCTCAATTTTTTAACATGCACATGACTTTAGTTATTTGCATTTTTTCCACAAACCCCAGGACCATCCACTTTCAGAGGCAGCCTAACCAAATGTCATTAGCTTGATGAGTACCAATCTTCCTCAAGCACTTGTATAATGAAGTATGTTTTTGCTGACGTAATTTTGTGATGTGGCAGCCTGTTTATTGCAGTGTTTTTATCCTTCATTGAAAGAAGCTGCAGGATGGTGTTTTGGAATTCATTCGCAATGCATCTTTGCCTCCTTCATTCCTATATCAGACTCCTTTCTCCTGGCAAAGTGCATCCATGCTTGCAATCAATGGGAGTTAGGTGCCTGAAAATCTTTGCAGATCTGAGCCTAAATGACTCAGTGGACTAGTTGTAAGGATAGTTCAGTTGTTGGGATAGATGGCATTAATAGTTTGGTGCTGCTATGAGGAAGGCACCATTTGCATGGAGGTGGCTGGTTATTCACTGCTATTTCTAGGACTACACGGCAGAGTAACTATAGATTTAAGCTTTTGCAGAGACTATAATAGCCCATTAAAAAGTAAACATGTCCACTATTCCCCAACAGTGACTGCCACAGTTTAACAGGAAGACAATGCATCCCCTAATGTAGTATTCTAATGTGAGTGGGCTCACCCAGTCCTGCTAAGAGATCCACAGATATTACACTATTGAGGAGCCATGGGAGGGAGTGGTGTGCCGTGGGTTCAAGTTAAATAAAAATAATCCCTTGTAATAGTTGCAGTATTGAGAAAAGCTGATTTCACAACTCTCTGCTAGGTTTAAAGTGAATTTTCATTAAGGCCTTGTCCATTTTTGCCCAAGGCAATTTACAGTGTTTGTAGCCAGGTTTGAGAGAGATAATAACCAATTTGGAAGAGTGGAGTGGAGCCAGCACTGTTATTTGTGGTGAAGAGATGATACAAATTGTTCAGTGAAAAATCTATTTGAAGATCTTTAAGGAAGTTCCACATTCCTGTAGCAGATTGGAAACTCTATAGCTTGTCCCCTGAGCTTCGCCCCAAAGGGAGCAGGATGTGAATTTAAAAAAAATTGCTGATTTTTTTTGTTTGACCAGTTCTTTTGTAGGCAGCCCTCCTTTTGAAGACATCTCCTTTATCATCCTGACATAGCATGATCCCAAAGGTTTTGGGTCTGCTATCATTCTAGCTTTAACTATGAAGGTCTTTAGGGTACGTGTACACAGCAAGTTGGACCCCATGGCAGCAAGTCTCAGAGCCTGGGTCTACGGACTTGGGCTCATGCTATGCACTAAAAATAGCTACAGACGGAGCCTGAATGTCTTCCCAGCTATTTTTAGGGCTGTAGCAAAGTCTGTAGACCTGGGCTCTGAGACGTGCTGCCGTGAAATCCTACTTGCTTTGTAGACGTACCCTCAGTCTAAAGAAGTTGGCATAGCATAAAGGGAGTATTGTGTGTGGTTGGTACCCAACATTGCACTGGGCTAGGTGTAAGAGATCTCTTAAAAATGCAGTATGTTTTCCCTTAAGTCAGTGGCAATACGCAGAGTGTGTATAATTAAGCTTGTCTATAATTCTTTACAGAATAGGGGCCTTAGATTGTAAATTCTTTAGTACATGGATCATCTTTTATCCTCTGTTTGTATAGCACCTACCCCACCATGGCTCTGATCTTGGCTGCTTTTACAAATGAAAATAAGAATTACAGATTACAAATAAAAATAAGAAAACTTACACAACCAGTAGCAAAGGATAGTGTATGGTGTCCGCAAAGGTTGCTGGCTTTAAGATTTGCATTGGCAATTCTAGGCAAAAGTAACAAACAACAAGAAGGATTTAATATGGGAATGTTGAGATAACTATCACAGATTTTTACAATGTTGTGGCCATTATCAACAGAAATAAAACAGCATTTAATAAGATGCTCTGGTAAATAAAACCCTAAAAACACAGATGTAATCAAGGATAAGATCCAGACCGTAATAGCTGAGGTGACAAGAAATTTAAACCTAGAGTGAGCTATTTAGTCATGCATCACTTACACAACAGGCAATTAACATCTGGCAATAGCTATTATTTTCCCTTTAGGCAGCTGGATGAGTGACACTGCCAAGAATCAATATTTTGGGGAGGCAGAGAAAGGGAGGGTAACAATAGCTTAAGACAAAAGGAATGTAAGGTACAATTGCCAAATAACATGGTTGTTGATGTGACAGGCAGAATTTTTCTGCTTTAGGGGCTTCAAGACAGTTAGGGGATGGACTTGCCTCTTATCCTAAATTCCAGGGGCCTGATTTTGATCTCACTTCCTCTGGTATAATACAAATCAGGAGTAACTCCAAGTTGACAAAGTTACACTGGTATAAAATCTATGACATCTGAGTTAGGACCCAGTTGTGCAATGATACCCCCTAAAACTTCATTTAAATTCTCTGAGATGCTCTTCTTGACCACCAACCGGTATATGAAAGTGCTCCCACACAAATGCTTTCTGCATTAATGAGACTGCATTAGTTTTTAAAATATTAACTATAATCCAGATTACCAAAGGCATGGCAATTAAATCAGTATTAGCAGGATTTTCAATAGAATTAATATACAGTTTAAGCACTAGGTTTAAGTGGTTTGTTCTGCAATCATTTTGTGAGACTCAGTCTAATTACTTATTCCATCTGAATGCTAATGGACTACAAATTGGATCAATGGCCCAGGGACAGTCAGAGAGTCAGCCATTTGACTTTAAATATACATAAAACATGGCACACAGTGCTCCAGTTACGGTGACGCCTTTAGGGCAGACCTTGGATACATGGTGAAGGCACATGAAAAAATACAGCCAGCTTGTATTTATTACACACAAAAAACAGGCTAGTTAAGATCAGCAGAAGATACTTTCACCAACAACTGCAGTTAATAATGTTAGCCGCAGTTCTTCAGTTATTTATAGTCAATTCAAAAGATAATTATGAAATGGCTCATAGGGTCTGGATAGAGTTGTCTATGATAGGCTGTCACTGATGTTCTATCTTTGCCCAAAATGTTCAGGAAATGCACAGCTCTGTTTTCCTTATTTCTATGCATCCATTTCTCTTCATAATATCAATGATTCAGGCAGAGCATTTTAGGTAATTACTGCAGTGTTCAAACAGCTATAGCCACTCGGCTTTTGGCCTCATATTTTATAACACCACTCACTGGTCCAGATTACACAGTATCTCTCATTCCTTTCCGTGTAAGTGTCATTCTATGTCGTATCTGAATGGATGTTTTCTATTACAGTACTCTGCATTTGAAGAAAATCTCTACTATGACCAATCCCATCATAGGGAAAATATCAAGGAACATGTTTTCAGCCCTGTTTCCTTAACTGCTTCCAAATTGTCAAGTATAGCCACACAAATGCCACGCAGAAATGAGGATCTTTGGGAGCCATTACATATTTTGGGATTTCAAATGTGGAGTTTCCATGTAACAAAACAGACACTCTTAAAAATGTTGCAGGTGCAGCTAAGGGGGCTGGTGGAAAATATCTGAACTATTTGGCCCTACCTTTGTCTATATTAGGTTTATTTGTTTGTATCTCTGTCCCCATCCCCTTCCTTTAGTCTCGCCTCTTTTGCACATCTGCTCTTTTGCAGATGTGGAGAGAATATTTAATTAAGGACTGGCACAAAAAAGAACTAGCTGCGTTTGTAAACTGCTCCAAGTGTCATTCTTCTCTGCTGCAAATAAGATTTTGGACTTTCCTTTTCTTGTACAGCTGTTTTTTCCAACCTCTATCAAATTACATGGGTTTTATGAAAAATTTTAAATCACTGAGACTGAAAATCTCTTACATGCATGTCTCCTGATTGGTAATTGCTGCTTGATTCACTGCAATTTACTGCTCTGTACTGAGAGACTGCCACAGTTGTAGCTAGTAAGCACATACAATAGGTTTGAAATGGAATATTGTAACTAATAAACCAATCATATTACAGCAAACACACCCTGTAATGGACAGCTGATCCACATCATGTCATCTCCCAGTGTCAATTACTTTTTTTATATAAAAGCTAATTTTTATCCTTTTCTCTTTCTGTCTCCTCCATCCTCATCAACTCCTGTCTCCAGAATAACTTCCTTCTATGTAGCATTTCCCAACTTAGTGCTTCCCAAACTGGATGACATCACTGACAGCCACAATAATTTTTCCTCCTGTCAATCCAGTCGAGATACTGTGCCATTTCACAACAATAATAGCGGAAGGCGAAAAGAGATACTTACTGTAATCATCTATCTTGATTTCCATGTACTCCACTTTAGGCATTTGCCTGTCATTTACAGCCAGCTGCACATTTTCATTTACCTCCAGCTCAAAGGTTTCTGAAAGAATAAGGACAAAAACCACACAAACCCTCCGGAGTTATTCATGGACAACTTAACATTTTGCCCATGCCCCTAATATTTTTAAAACAAATATTTTCCTTCTAGACACACTGTCCCCTCTGAAGTCCATGAGGAGAGATGCACAACTAAAATATAGTAGTTACCTTGCAATATTTCTGAAACATGCTTCAGATCCAAAGAATTATTATGGGCTCTATTACCTGAGAGGAAAAAAAAACACCTTTGCCCCAGATCAAGAGGTAGTATAAACTGGCGTCCACCGAAATCAAAAGGACTAAGTGGATTCACACCAGCTGAGGATCTAGCCTTCTAAGTCTAGATGCTGTAACAGTGTTTTCGCCTCAGACAAAGCAACAGAAGATTACGGTTGAATCGATGCATTTTAAGAGCTCGCTCTGCAGTTCAAGTGGAATGGGAGAAGAGGATTTTTTTGGTGCAGATATATTTTCGTTGAGATTTTCACTCAAGGGGAAGATATTCTGTTCGAGAGTTCTCCAGGCATGTGAAATCAATCTGAAACAATTAAGAGTCAATGAAAGCTCTCAACAGAACATCATTCATCGTCTACCACACAGCTCCGCAAACTGCAGCAGAGTTGGTTCACATTCTGAACATCTCCCTTGGACCAGCACTATGCTCTGAATCAGACAGACAGCCAGCCATGCACAGAGACAACACAGACAAGACAGCGCTTGTGTTATGGAGGGGATCTAGTGGTCAAGGCCTAAGCCCTATATTTTCAAGTGTCCCACCAGACTTGAGTGTCCCAGTTTCTGAGCCCATGTGGCTCCCACTTTGACTGGATTCATGGGTGTTTGGTGCCAGGACTGGCCCTATCTTATAGGCATATCACACAGCTGCCTAGGGTGACATCTTCCTCGTGGCTGTTCCACTGCCTTCTGCTGAGCTGTTCCCTTCTCCTGATCGGCTGTTCTCCAGGTGGCATCCCCTTCCCTCCTGCCCAGGCTGTACCTGAACGCTGAGCTGCCTCCTGCCGAGCAGCAACCTCCCTCCTGCTCTGGAACCAAATTCTCTCGCCCTCATGGGGTGGTTCATCTCCAGCTTGCCCCTCCCTTCCAGGCAGGAGGCCAGCAGCCGAGCGACTTCTCTCCAGAACAGCTTAACAATGGCCCCCTGCACTCAGCTGAGCGGCTGCTTGGCTGAAGAGCTCTCAAGGTTCTCAGCAGCAACATGTGCTAAGTGGAGAGGAAGCCAGGGGACACATCCCAACATGGAGCAACTGTGTCTGATCATGCATGGCTTTGCTTCAGGCCAGGTTCCATTCTTAGCCTTTCTGGCAAGACTTGCTCTCTTCCCTCTCGACAGAGAAGGCCTAATTCATTTCCTTCAGCAAGCGAAGGCTGAACAGGCCTTGCCTTACTTCAGGACCTCTAGCATCTAACAACTCATCAGAGTCAGGCCATTGGAAACAAAGTGCCACAGCAACTCCCTGGAGCTCAAGGCTGTCAGAGATTGTCTCTCCAGTTCCTTCCTCAGCCAAATCCTGATCACATTGGACAACAGAACCACGGTGGCCAACCTGAATCCTCAAGACAGGACAAGAATGTTCCATTCCAGGGAGAATCCAATGTCCTCTTCCCCCGGGGTCCTTCAAAGCCCTGCATGTACCCAGCTCTCTGAATCTTCCAATGGACTGGCTGTGCCAGAAACGACTTTGTCAGAGGAGTGGTCCTTGCAACAGCAGGCCTTCAACCAAGTACTCGCCTGCCCCCTAGCCTCCTTCAATCAGCCTCTTCATGTCCAGCTGTAAAACTCCCAGGTTCCCAGATTCTGCACCACACGCCTGGACCCTAATGTCTTGGCCCTGGGTAAGTTTTCTGTGTCATGGGTGCAGGGAGCCAGTTGATACCTTCCCTCCTTTCCTTGATACAGTGGGTTCTGACAAGGGTTAGTGCCTTTTGATTCTCGTAACCAGAGTCTGGCTGAGGCAGGCTTGATTTATGAACCTCATCTGTGTGTACTGAGGACTCAGCTTCCACATACAAGGACTTTCTCCAGCAGGGGCCCATCCTTCTGACCCCATCCCTCTTGAAATCTGGACCCCACGAACACTTCATCTTCTGTAAGCTGAGTGTCTGACCCAGAAATTTTTTTCCCTATGAAATGATAATAAACATGGTCTATTTGATCTGGAAGACACTGAGTAAAATATAATGTGGAAACTCCCAACACCAATTACACATTTTATTGACTATAACAGCACTTTAATGACACTTATGCTTATGGATACTACTCCCTCAGGCCCTCCTGAAAATATAATACTGGAGGAAGTTCATAATCATGTTCTGAATCACATTTAGTCATGCCCATCTCCAGTGAATAGAAAAACAGGCACAGCACAAAAACATGCCGTTACCAGTTAATACATTTCACAGATCTTTCAGCAAGTGGCTATAATGGTTCAATGACTATTCAACATGTTTCTGAAAAGCCTGGATCATCTCTATTGAATTCATAACTCCCACAAAAGCTCCAAAGCAACAGACTATTAAGTTTAGTTAAATATTAGGATTCTCATTTAATTATGGCCCACACAACTAGCTTTATCAGCAGAAAGAGGTCTGCCACACAGGGGAGTTCAGTAAAGCCATTTTATTTGTTCATATAATTGCATCCAGAGAAAGGCAGGAATAGAGTGAAGGAAATAAGAAAAGATTGGCACATCTCCTAAAGGACTTTCTTTTCTGCTTTAGGACTACAGGGAACCCTCATCTGTGAAGTACAAATGGTCAGTGTTTAATTAAATGTAAGCACTCTATAATATTTGGCGTGACTCATTGTTATCAGATTATTGCAGAATACTGAGACAAACTCCCTTTATAGAGTAATGGCCTTAAATTAAATGAGTAAATTCAACTGTCATAATTGTCTCCTCTCTTTAGAAGCAACAAAATGCTAGAAAATGAGGAGCCAGGGGAAATGCTAATCAAATGTAGAAATCATGCATTCTAGCAAACAGGATGAGTTTTGTGCACACCTCTATCTAATTACCTGTGCAATAAATACTATACATCTATAACTCTCAATATACATCGACATTCTCAGTATATTTTATGCCACTTCTGTCAAGTATTTTATTTACTTTTTCCGTTCCATGACAGTTCTCATGCTATACACATAATAGTCATTTATGACACTGTTTTCAATATCATGAGAGCACTAGAAGGTATATGCTGTTATATGCAGTCAGTCACATCTAAAGCCATGGGAAAATCAAACTATCTACATAAAAGGAAAAAGAAAATGGAGAGAAAAAAACAGCCAAAAAAGGCTCATGAATGTCCAAAAATTAAATCACCTCCATGCTAAAGTTCAAAATCAGGGCCAAATCTTGACTGTTTTAGTCATGCTCTTAGTCTCATTGACATTGACAGAAACATAAAATAAGCAGATTTAAAGCAGGCCATTTTCTCAGTTACTTAAAAGGTAAAATGAAGAAGCTTATTCCAGAAGATCCCCCTCTCCTAGGAGTGGTTCACCCCTTACCTCTTCTGTAAGAAACAAAATGAAAAACTGGCCTAGGTTTAACAGTGACCAAACAATACTGTATGAGTTGCATAAAAACTATACGCTAGGCATGAGGGTGAGATCAGGAATACTATTACTCATTAATGATGAGCTCACATAGCCTTCTTGTAATTGCAGTTCCCAGAGTTATGAAGCAATCCCTGACTTGTGGAAATGTTTCTGACAGCCTAATGCTGTAGCTTCCTAGGACTGGGTAGCCTGAGGAAACACAGAGATTGCCTGGGCTGAAGTTTGGCTTTTTCTATGGCCCTGCTGCTCCTCCCAGTTGCTTCAGATTTACACCAGTGTAACTCCACTGACTGTAGTGGGACAGCTCCTGACTTAAACTGGTGCAAAGGAGGAGTCAGGCCAAAGCCTCCATCAGGGACAAAATAGGTGGATGTCTCATTATAGCTGTAGAGAGCACAGAGAGGCTGAGATGCTGGTAGATACTTATACAGTGTGTTAAGGTTAAAGAAACAGCATGTTTGTAATATGTTCTCAATATTATTTAGCTGACATGTAAAGAGGTATTTTCTGAGCCTGTTTGATTGTTTTAGCATCTAGTATCTATCAGAAAGTACCAGTTGGTATTTGTGCGTTGCAAAAGCTACATCTTCACCAGGGCCCAGCTCCACACATTGGGAATTCCTTCTGTACTTGGATCTGCTTCTGTCCTGCCTCCATGGCACTGTTTCCTTCTGCTCTGCCCTGGATCCCAGAAAGGGAGTTCCACAAGCCTGGGGATAATTACACCGTTCTCCCACACCCACCGCTGAAACCAGCAATATATGTGCAGAAAAATAAATGAAGGCCTAGGCCGGAATAAGTTTTCTACACAGCTCAGTCCATGGTGACAACCCTTCTTTAAAGGTAGTTTCAGGGTAGCCACATTGGGGAACACCCGTTAGGGGTGACTCCCAGAAAGGGTCCTTTGAAGGTTTCAGGGTGTCCAACAGAGCTAGAGGGGGTGGGTGGTGCTGTGCTTCCGGTGGAGATCAGCACAGATCTTGGGGGATCTGCGAGATAAGGCAGAACCCTTCTGTCCATTCCATCTGGGACAAACCCTCCCTATCAGACACAATGATCTGGGGAAACCTCATGGAGTTTCTTTTCCCCACCCCAGATGCTTCTTGCAGGAAGGGGTGATCTGCTCTTGGTTAGCTCCTGCTGCTCCGTGTCCGTACTATTCCTCCAGGAATGCGTCAGAGAGAAGTGCACCACCTAGCTCTTACTGAGTGCTTTTCATCCAGAATTTCAATACGTTTTACAAAGGAGGTCAGTATCGCTAGCCCCACCTTCCATATGGGGAAACTGAGGCATAGGGCAGTGAAGGGTCTTGCCCCAGGTCAGCCAGAAGGCCAGTGGCAGAGCTTGGAATAGAACCCAGGTGTTCTGAAACCCAGCCCAGTGCTCTGTTTTTGCCAAGGCTCTCAGAGATGGGATGCTGCTGATTTCTGTGCTGTCTGTATTAAGAATTTCATCATAAAGAAAACCTTTCATTTTAAACAGTTAATTGGAGATGGGGAAGGGGAATAAATTACGGTTAAATGTACATCACAGGTGGATTTGGCCCATTGAGAGAGAACTGGTCCAGCCCCCCTGTGCCTCATTAACAGCTCTCAATGGGGCCTGACAGAGGGCTTTACAAAGAGCCAGGAGACCAGGAAACAGGAAGAGGAAACTGTAGCAGAGAGTGAGAAAGGCTCCTGCAGGGAAAATTGTGAGACAAGGGGAGCTGCTCCAGCTAGGAAGGGCTGGGAGTGGCCTGCTTAAGCAGGGAAGTTCCTGAGACACCAGGCAAGTTTCCAGGCAGGAAGACCTGGGCTCAGGTTCTTTGCGGGGGGGAAGGGTGGGGCCATGAGATGGCAGGGAGTTTTGAGACAGTCCCTCAGAAAGGAGGCGCTGTGCCCAGTTTAAGGTGAGGGGTGGGAAAGAGAAGACTTTTTGTGTTGTTTTTAGCTTTTTTGCCAATAAAACCAGGCTGAAAGGAAGGGTATTATTGAACACGGAGAAGTCTGAGTTATTTGAGGAACCAAGAGGGGAAACTGAGGCAGGCCACATGGCGGCACTCAGAAGGCATCGGACTCTGTTACAGTGTACAATATATCTTCCTTGGCAATCTCCCAAATGAAGCACACTATTCTACTCAGTGCTTATAGCTTAACAACAAAAGTTACAATATATATAAAATAGGACATTTTCCACTTTGATTCACCCTCTTATATTTCCGTTAAACCATACGACAAGCAAACCTTGATTTTATTTGTGCTTTTCCCCCAAACACCCATATGAATCTAAACTACATGCCTTCTCCAGCCATAACTTTACCCAGTCACAGTTGCATTCTTACAGGAAAAAGAAAAGGAGTACTTGTGGCACCTTAGAGACTAACCAATTTATTTGACCATAGTTTATGCTCAAATAGATTGGTTAGTCTCTAAGGTGCCACAAGTACTCCTTTTCTTTTTGCGAATACAGACTAACACGGCTGTTACTCTGAAACCTGTTCTTACCGGAAGAGATTTTAAATCATTCAGCTACACATCTGTGGCTGTGCCCTGCCAGCTCTGCTTATGTACAAGACTCTTCTGGTGGGGTGTGGAGAGAAGTAGTTGAACGGCACATTGTCAGCAAAGCACATTGAGAGAGCAGGAAGAATGAAATCACACATACACACACACAACGTTGAAACAACAGGTGGAAGCCTTGTGTTTTTCTTTACACATCATGATACTACATCGGGCCTGATCCTGTTTTCAATGGGAGATTTACCTGAGCAAGGAGTACAGGATCAGGTCCATAAAGACAATGTTAGGGTGTGTCTACACTTTGAGCTGGAGGCGTAATTCCCAGCTCAAGGAGACATACCCACACTAGCTCTGATCAAGCTAGCGCACTAAAAACAGAGTGTAGCCACAGCAGAGGGAATGGTGGGAGGGGTTAGCCACCTCAAGTACGCTAGCTCCTCCCACTGCTTGCGTCACCCTGGCTACACTAGCTTGAGCAGAGTGAGCGCAGGTTTGTCTCCTTGAGCTGGCAATCACCCCCCAGCTCAAAGTGTAGACACACCCTAAGATTGCTCAAGTCTAGGCTTGTTATTTGATAAAACCCTTGGCTTCACAGTTTCTTCCACGCTATTCTCTATGCTTGGAACCACCGCCCAGAGTTGGGAATAGAATCCAGAACTCCATAGTCCAAGTCTGGTGATTGAATCAATAGATAACTGCCCCCCACCACACACACACTTGGTAGGTACCTATGGTAATGGCTTTTATCACTCCATCAACTGGTTGTTAAACATGTCTTTTCCACAATGACGTAGTACGAGATTAATGAAAGAATAACAAGGAGATATATTTGGATTGTGCAACTCTCTGCAATTGTAATGATGACTGGGATTTCCAATTTGCTTTTGATCAGCAAACATATAAGTAAAATTTCTAGAAATATTTCTCTGAAGGTAACTGCAGAAATTAAACTGCAATGGTCTGAGTGACGGCCTAGCATGCAGGAGACCTGGGTACAGTTCCTTGCTCCACCGCAAACTTCCTGTGTGACCTGGGCAAGTCGCTTAGCCTCTCTGTGCCTCAGTCCCCATCTGTAAAATGGGGATAATGGCAGTGCCCTATCACACAGGGTTGTTGTGAGGATAAATACATTAATGATTGTGAGGTGCTCAGACACTACAGTAATGGAGGCCAAGTAAGTACGTAGCTACAATGTTATCCACCTACATGCCACTAGAATAAATAACTCAGGAGCAAATTCTCAAAGGCACAAATGGAAGTTAGGTCTCAACTCCCATTGGCTTTCAGTAGGAGTTGAGCCCCAAACTGCCTTTTGTGCCCTTGAAAATCATTCCCCTTAGTAATTCTTACAACTGTTCATTACTACTTGAATGCTGACAGCGAGCAGAATAACACAATCCAATAGCCATTGGATACGGAGCTACAAAACCTGGTTAGTTTGCTCATGTGTTCAGCCCATAATTTTAAGTCTGGAGTAAGAACTGCCAGTGAAGCTCAGGTGTGGTTGCACTTAGTTTACTATGGCGGTGTGACCCCTGGAGACGACAGTTCCAGGAGGCGATGCTCCATCTGGCTGGGAGCTACATCTGCTCAGCTTTGGGCCACACTCCACAGTAAAGATAAGCACTGTCGGATGCAACTTGTGGTCTCTGCTGGCTACACTTCCCCAACAGTCTGTTATTAACGCTTATTATTAGTACTACAGTCATGCCTAGGGCTCCTCTCAGCAACCAGGGCTCCCCGTCCTAGAGGCTGTACAAACCCTTACTGAAAGACAGCCCTTTTCAGCCTAGGCTCCAAAAACATGCAACAGGTAGATAAAACACACAGCAGGGGAGGGGAGGACGAGGTAACATTAAAACATGAACATTGCGCATCTAGCACAATGAGCTTTACTCAAGGCACACAACCTGCCTTGCAATCTGCTCAGTATAATATACATTAGTTTCAACCCTTCAGCTCCAGCTAAGATGTCTGTGTGGCCCACATATAGACAAAGTCTGGGTACTCCCTGTTGAAAGTAATGGAGAATGGCTGTATTTTATTACATTGCCTGACTGCTTTTCTTTGAGGACATACAAAATACAGCCCAGTACTTACTTTGTTTATCCGTCGTGTTGTGAACAGTCACAATTGGAACTCTTGGACCTAGAAAAGAAGGGGAAAGAAAGACATTTGGTTAAAATACACATACACATACATATGTGTACATGTAAACCTGTTTTTGAATCCCTTGAAGTTGGAGGCTCCTGAGAATTACGTGTCATGGAAGAGTAATCTAAAAAGCAAATCACCCAGGTATGCACAGCAGTCTATGAATAAATGACAGCACTGTAGACTCCAAGACATGCGAGGTTTCAAGGCCCTTTCCCAATGGGACAATAAATGCATCTTTCTCTAATTTGTAAATATTTTAATTAGCACAAACACAATTAAATCATTTGCTTTTTAATTTATTCTAATGACACACAAACATCACTGCACAGAACGTTTACATTTTATGTGCCCTGGCTAATAGTTGCTGTTACATAGATGCTGTATGTTTTTTAAAATCAAACACCAGGTACGTTCCAATAATACAAAAGGTTCAGCCTAGAACTGCAGTGCATAGCTGTGTGCAATATGATATCAGCCAGTTTGTAAAGAGGAGGAGTATTATTTAATATTTATATTGAGTTAGCACCAAAAGGCCACAACCAGTGTCCTTAAGTGCTATACAAATTGTGGTAAGTGCTGTACCAACACCTGCCAACTGCAGGGAGTGATTTTCTCAGAGAAGTTGGCCATAATTCTGCAGGAGAACTGGCAGTGAAGTCTAAATCCTGCCCTTTGTTGCTGGAGGAGTCATGTGGGAAGGTATGTTGAGGAGCGGTAGGGATAGTGGCAGAAAGGTGGGAACCGCCATACCAGTTCATACCAGCAGTTCAACAAGCCCAATATCCTGTCACTAGCAGTGTTGATAAGGAAGAAACCCCATAATGGATAAACTAGCTTATGTTGCTTGTCTTCTCCCATTATTGCACCCAGGCAATAGGAAGAGGGAACAATAACACGGGGTGGATCACAGCAGCAAGGGGATACTGGCCATACTCCCAGCCACCCTGTGTGCACACTATGGTTGGCAGTAGAATACATGCTAGCTTTATGGAAAGACAGTAAGATGCTCCTGGCAGCACTTTCCATCCTGAACCTTTCTGTGGCACTGGCTACAGTGCCAGGTTCGTGGTCAGTTCTGCTCCCTTCCCTGCAGCTGGTGCAGGCTCAACTCTTAGTGGCATGGTTTTGCTAGAAGCACATACAGTGTATATTTCCAATTCAAATCATGCATGCTATGTGGCTGTGCAAGCTGCTGAGGTTGCAATGTTTAAATCTGGCTGTGTAGGGAAACCCAGCAGAAGGCTTGTCAGAAACCTTATCCCACCACTGTCTTTAAGGTGGCATTGGAAGGGGCTCATTTTGGCATTTCCCCTTGTGCTGATCATTTCAAATGTCAAGTGATCTGCAGGGCGCAGCACGCTCTGAGTTGCATGGCCAGTAAGCACATGGAAAGTGAGCTGGAGATATGCTTTAACAATTGTACAGCTAAGGGCTCGATCCGTTAAAAGTGCTGAAAACTCTGGCACCCACCCAGCAATGAACTTAGGCATGGGATTAATTTTAAGCACATGAGCAGTCCCACTGAAATTAACTGACCTTCAATTTGGAAGGTTCTTGGCACTTTGCAGGATCAATCCCTGAAGTACACATTCAAGATTAAAAATAAAAACAACAAATCCATACAGCAGCACCATTGTTTCTTTGTTTTCCCTGCATTGGAGTGTTCCAAGGGCAGTTGTGGCCAGAGGAGGTCCTGGTAGAATGGCTCTACTGGAACTCAGCTGCCAGGAAATATACTGGGGTAGGTTGCCCAGGACCCAGAGCTGCTATGGAGACACAGGGGTCTTGTCTCCTGCAGATCACTCAGAATCCCTTTGTGCTTGGGATAGAAGTGTAGTGTGTTCTATACCAGGGGCAAACCCTGCCCACTGCTAATGACATGAGGGATATGTTACAGAGATGCCCAGCTTCTTAGTCCCCTACTGTGGGTGCTACCAGGAGAGAATGGCGGGTTCCAGCTGACAGGCCAAGATTTTCAAAAGCGACTAAATTATTTTGGGTGGCCAACTTAACCACCTCAGAGGGGCCTGATTTTCGGATGGTGCTCAGCATTCGCCCTTGGAGAACCTTTCCCTTTTAAGGTGTCTCAACTTCAGCACCCCAAAACTTGAAGCACCCACAATCATTTGTCACTTTTTTCTAAACAAAAAATGATCAGGGACAGAAAACCGAACATTTTTAGTTTTTCACTGCAAAATCGGAAAATTTCTATGGTCAGGTCTATGCTAGAAAAGATTTACCAGTATAACTGTAGTGGTACAGCCATGCCAGCAAACCCTCCTCATGTAGATGCAGCATATCCTAGCAGAAAAGAGCTTTTGTCAGTATAGTTTATACTGGTTTGGTAATCGATATAAGCTATACACGAAAAAAGCACTTTTATGCCAGCACTACTGCGTCTACACAAGAGCTATATCTATGTCCTTTTAAAAAAACCCCTGCATCCTAACCAACATTATTCTGCCAGCAAAAGTGTACACCTAGCCTATAAAAAATTTTGAAAAACCAAACAAAACTATTTTTTACTTTTCGTTCTGAAATTTTCATGCAAAATACTTATCGTTTTCTGATTAGCGCTAGTGCTTTACATGCAATATAAAAATACATGGGCTATGATGTGCCTTTTGACACAGAAAATACTAGATTTAATGTTGTTGAGGACTACAGCACTGTATGTATTGCAGAAAGGGACAAAGTAACACAAAAGTGTGGTATTTTTTTCTTCATAGAGAACACAAGGAATCAATCGAATTAAGTGGATCAGATCCTGATGTCAATTACACTGGTGTAAATCAAACACCAACTGTGTTAAACGCAATGCTGTTACTCCAGATTTACACCAGTGTAAATGAGATCAGGTTCTGATATAGAGAAAACATACTGTTGCCAAATTTATATGTTTCTTCATTTCAGACAGGTTTGCCATTTGTGCAGCACAGATATGAATGAAGGCACAGTAGGTTTAATCATTCTACAGTTTGACTGATATGGTTGGTCTGATTTTCAGTCCCTGTTAACAGCGAACTTTCTTCATTAACAAAGTGATTCCTTCATTCTTTGTTTGCTAAATGGTTTCAGAATGAAACGGAATCATCACAGAGCATGGAAAGAGGCTAGTAATTTTGTTTTGTTGGTAGCAAGCTGAATAGAAAGTCGATTTCAAACACAGTGCTAAATATTATTGGAGAGGGCGGTGCAGCTTTTCAGTTACTGATATACAATGACATACTAAACATATTGACGTATAAAGCTTCTCCTCCCCCCCATCACCGAACCACCGCTTTTAGAGTGAAACTAAGTTAAAGTACTGTTCAAATAGGGCCTGATCAAATTTCCATTGAGGACAATGGGAGTCTTTCAATTCACTTCAGTGGAAGCTGGATCGGTCTCTTACTAATAAAAATATCCCTTATACAAAGAAGAGAATGCAAGTGAGAAACATGATGTATATTCTGATTTCTCTTTCTGTACCTCTTTGTGCTAGCATTGGCAACACAGTGAGAAGTCAAAAGATAAATAGTAACAATCCAGTTATGTAGATTAGCAACAATATATATATTATGTATAATTTTATTTGGGTGGTCTCTCTCTCTCTGTTGCCCTCCACCCAAACAAATTTTATAAAGCTAAGCAAAGCTCCCACCCAGGTTCTCATTCCATGGTAATATCAAATAAAGGCATTTGAAAAAAATATATCCACAATCCAAAAGAATTAGAGTTCTCAATTGTGGTTTGTTTGTTTTTTGCAAGTGGAAAAAAATGGTAATGGCCAACATAGTATATTAAATAGAGTCACCCAGTTAATCTGAAAGTTTATTCCTGACCATTTAGTTAAGTATTCCTCATAATTCCATCTGTTAGATATGGCCAGGGTATAAGTTTTCAAGAAAAAAAACCCTATAATTTCAGGCACGAAGTAAATAATCTTGTTCACTGTTGACTTTTAAACTAAGTTGAACAAACCAGTTTCGAAATTAGCCTAGTTAAAAATGTGGAAAATTGTTAAATGTAACTGTTTTTTACCACACACAATGCGCTAAGTGGCTAATGTCTACCATTGTGGAGTTGAATTCTGGAAATTATATAGTGTATGTTCATTAGCCGCCTTCCCATACTTTAATTTTAAACCTATAATGATGTGACAGTTACAATACACACACCATCTGGCAAATGCCATCCTCTGTCATTTACAGATCTAATAGTGAAATCTAATTTGTTCGATGAAATATTCAGAGATGACAGAAACAGAGCGAGGGCACAGTTTGCACGGTACTGTCTCTCTCTCTGGAGCCCTTTCAAATGGAAGTTTGATTGGGACTCCTGAGTCCTGACATATTCCACTTATTTATTAATTTTTTTAAATAAGTACTGATGTATGGGCGTGTTCCCCCTTCTCCCTGCTATATACCAGGGCCTGGTTCTGCTTTCAGTTAGGCCCTGAATAAACAAAGCACTTAAGTACTGTATATGCCTAAATCCCAATAAGATTTAAGCATATGCTTAAATTAAGCACTTGTTTAAGTACTTTGCCAAATACAGATGGCCTTAGGCATGTGCTTAAAGTTAAGCATGTACTTTAGTGCTTCACTGCATGGGAGTTTAGCACCTGTGACAGTCTGATTCTGAGAGGTACTGAGGCCTTTAGTACCCACCCATTGTCTTCAGAGTGAGTTGAAGGCACTCAGCACTTCACAGGATCGAGTCCAGAATCAAAAGTAGCAAATTCATGTAAATCAATGGAATTCCATCAGGGTAAAAGCGGTGCAAAGAAGATCAGAATTAGGCCAAAATAATCCAAGACTATATCAAACTTATTGTGGGCCAGAATGGAGCCTCCCACTCATTGCATGGCCCATGAAAAGCCAAACACCTTCACAGGCCGTAGGGAAGTGCAGGGACTGGGGTGCCCAGTGACTGAAAGGGGGTGGGAAAGAAGCATAGTCATGGAACGATACAGCAATTATCAATCTGCAGAGTGTGCTTTCCCACCA